ACCCAGGTGAAGGACCTTGCATTTTGACTTGTTGAAGCTCATGCAGTTTGCACTGGCCCATTTCTCAAGCCTATCAAGGTCCCTCTGGATGGCATCTCTTCCCTCAAGTGAGTCCACGGCACCACACAACTTGGTGTCATCAGCAAACTTACTGAGTGTGCACTCAGTGACGTCATCCCTGTCGCTGACAAAGATGTTGAACAGCACTGGACCCAGAACAGACCCCTGAGGGACACCGCTTGACACTGGTCTCCATGTAGACATTGAGCCATTGACCACAACTCTTTGAGTGCAACCATCCAGCCAGTTCTTTATCCACCGAGTGGTCCATCTGTCAAATCCATGTCTCTCCATTTTAGAGATAAGGATGTCATGTGGGACAGTGTCAAACGCCTTGCACAAGTCCAGGAAAATGACATCCATTGCTTTACCCACGTCAACCAGAGCTCTAGCTTTGTCGTAGAAGGCCACTAAATTAGTCAGGCACGACTTGCCCCTAGTGAAGCCATGTTGGCTGTCACCAACCACTTGGTTATTTTTTATGTGCCTTAGTACAGCTACCAGGAGAATCTGTTCCATGATTTTACCAGGCACAGAGATAAGGCTGACTGGTCTGTAGTTTCCCAGGTTGTCCTTGGTCCCTTTTTAAAGATGGGGGTTATGTTCGCCCTTTTCCAACTCTAACCATTCTATGATTCTATGATTTAACAACAAAGTTCAAATGAAAAGATTCTGCAAGCTCATTTTATGTAGAACATTAAACTAGGTTTTTGTAGCCTGAATAATATTGTAGAGAAAATTTAGATGTGTCTCTTTCCCCCAGTCTTCTATAGAAAGTCTTCCAAGACTCAGGAAATGCTCTAATAAATTAAATGGGCAAGATATGATGGTTTGTGTTGGTCGTTTTTTTTATTTATTTTAAAATAATGATTTAACTCATTTCTAGACTCCCAAGTTTTCATGTAAGTTCTGAAATGTTAGTTTGGGTTTGGAATCAAAAGAAGTTTGATAAGCCCATAAGAAATTAAAAATGAGATACAATTGATTTTTTTTTCTTTTACTACAAACATCAGGAGAAAACACAAATACAAAAAGACTTGTGGAGAATTGAAGATGTTACAGCTGGCTTGAGTGCAAATAAAACAAACTACAAAACCATAGTAGACTCTATCAAGAATCCAGGTAAGGAGAACATAACAAAAAAGAATATACAAATGCAGCTGAATATTTGGGTCTTTATAGTCTAGAAGCTTGTTCTACTGCAGAAAACCCAGTTAATTCTGCTATTGGTTGCATCAGAAATCTCTGTTGATTGAGCACAGTAACTTGGCGTTTCTTTGGTTGAGGTGGTCAAAAGGTTTTTGTTGTTTTTTTTCACATACTGATGGCACTAAAATGTAACAAGCCATAAAAAAGGGAATAATACTAATAATAATGGGCTAAGTTCTGCAAGTTGCAGAAAGAGTTTCTGTTGTACGCCAGGCTCATATCAGCATAGTACCTATTCTGCATTCTGTCCAGGACTTCCTCTCTGTGTTCTTCTCTGCTTCCCACCCCCGCCTTCCTTGGATACTGCCCAACTGCTCTTGCCTTCCCGCTCCCACTTCAGGCAGGTGTTTGGTGGGCAGGGCAACATCAGCTGTGGAAAGGAGCTGAGGAGGAAGGGAAAGTGTGTATGGTCTGCCTCTCAGTTGCTTTATTATGTTTCAAATAAAAGTCATAAGGTGTTGGGATAGCAAGAGACTGTTAATGCCACCCGTTAATTCACTTTGACCATTTACATACAGAGATAAAATAGTTTTGAGACGGTGAAATCTTATTTTATATAAGGTATGGCTGTGAGTGCTTAGCCTTGTCTAGATCTATAGGCATCTTAAGGAATCTGTGGCATGGGGCCAGATAGAGCCTATGAACTGAGTTCATATGACTCTTGAGCTTTTCTTTCCCTCCTTCCCAGTGCCCTTTCCAAGGAATTTTACTGGATGGTATTAAAGTGTGTGGTTTTATTTTTGGTCCGAAAGGCTTGCTTGATCCTCATCAGGAAAGTGTTTTCTACCCCTGATATAATGTAACAATCAAATGGTTTTATGTCAAAAAAAAACCCTCTGTTTGTATTCAAAGCAATATGCAGAATATTAGGGCTGGTTTATGAAGTTGAAGGGTGTTCATTGCTGTTCTTATGAACATTATTGATAAGAACCAACACCTGACATATTTGCTTGTTTCTCTCCTAGAGAGAAAAATAGTGCCTTCGTTTTCTCAGTCTTCAGTGCCTTCCTTACCAGCTTCCCTCGCAACTGCGGAGAACAAACTATCAGCTCCGCAAAGCCCTCCGCCCAGTCCAGTTAAATCCTCTCTGGAGGTTAGGCTGTATCCACAGCCTTATTTCCAGGCCAGAACGCAGCACCAAGCACAGCAGCTGAAAAAAATTGAGCCGCCTCTTCAGTCACCAGTTAAGCTAAAGCCAAAGGTTGTAAGTACTGCTCTTGTGAGATTCATTCACCAATGTTTCCATTTACTTGTGGCAGAAACAATGACAGTTTCATGGTTCCAAAGTGCACACAGTGTGGGGACACTTGAAGTGTTTGTGTTGAAACTGAGCAATAGCACGCACAGGAGAATATATGCACCTAACATGGAGCTTTGTGTACAGTAGCCACATGCTGCTTTAGAACATACCAATGCAAAGCCTTCCTTTGTAATGCTTTGTGGTTGACTAGTTGTTTGCTTTCTTGGGTCTTGTTTGGTTTTTAAAGCGCCAAGCTCCTGGTGTGGACGGAGGAGAATATGCTGAAGAAGTCACAAATAACTCATATAACGTAATGAACTTTCAGTCAGTTTATGCCGGACTGTGTTCAGACTGTTTGTCAAATACCTGTACTTTCCTGTTACCAGGAAGATGAAGCACCACCCCGACCTCCTCTCCCTCAGTTGTACAGTCCTGATGATCAGCCACCGGCTGTTCCACCTCTCCCAAGAGAAGCCACTGTCATCAGACACACATCAGTGCGTGGCCTGAAACGTCAGTCAGACGAAAGAAAGAGAGACAGAGAACTTGGGCAGTATGTAAATGGAGATTACAGGGTGAGCACTCATATGCCTCTACACCTGCACTTTAAAGATGTGTGAATCTATAATAAAAGATACTGTCTGTAAAATATGTGGACCTTTAGATCTTATAATAAGGAGAGCGAGCTGATGGCAGAGAGATAGTGATGGCAGGGAGAAATCTATGCCGTATGACCATGGCAGAGAGAGGTTTAGTGATCCAGAAACAAAGCTTGAGGATTTATTGAGACTTTAGATGAAGACTTGCTGTCTGTGATTTCGTTTGACCTGATGAGTATTTTTCCATATAGATGGAACTGCGTTCATACATGAGTGAACCAGAACTAGCAACAATAGGTGGTGACCTCAGCCAACCTTCCAGTGGTTTGATATGCTCTGACAGTGGATACCAGACATTACCTACCCGTGGTAAGCCAGGAATTTATGTAGTTGATTTTTAACAATACTCTCTGTATAGGAGCTTTTCTCTCCTAGGATTTTCTGGAGATGGTCTTTATCATCAGATCATTATTTTTACATTAACTATACAATGCTGTGGAAGTCTAGAGGTTTTGTGCATTTTAATGACAACCAGCCTTTTACAAAGAAAATGAATGTATAATGCTTAAAAAAAAAGCATAGCAAAACATGAAATTAGCTGTTAGAATGTTTCCTGTATTTAGAGTTATTTTTCCTTATATTTCTGTGTGATCTTTTACAAATTCAAGTATTTTTTAAAACACTTATATTACCATTGAAATGGAAGCAATAAAGAATAAGAACACAATGCCCCCAGGTGCCACATGTGACTTGACACTCCATCCCCACTGTGCTACCGTCCTGAACTATTTCCCACATGAGGATAAGGAAGATACTTGTGATTATTTGTACAGTTTGTCTATTGTTGTACAGCTGAGTTCACTCCATACCTCATGTAATACAAGCTTCTAAATTATTGTAGATCTTTCTGAATTTTGATCAGTAGTGACCTGAAACACATTACCTTTGGCTGAAATGAAATTTCATACCTCTCTTGATCTTCTGAACTGCAAAATGTGAAATGTGAGCTAAAAGATTAAGCAGAATAGCATACAAAAAGCATGACAATTTAAAAAAATATCTGACGCTTATCGTAATTTTGTCTGTCATTTGGTTTTAAAGCATTCTCTTCTTCCTTATAAAGGTTTATCTGGATCAACTTCCAGATTGCACCAATCATCCACCATTGCATCATATGCAACACTTCGAAGGGATAGGTCCAAGGTAAGTTTTAAATGAACATCTGAAGGCAAATGTCTGAACTGTTGAAAATAGTTAAGCCCACAATATATTTTGCATAACAGGAAGTGGCGCGGTAGCAGCATGGGAGAGGACCCAAAACCTGTGATCTAATAAAACCTCCAATTTTTCACTTTGTTAGATGAATCAGGAAGCACAGACAGCTTACTGCATTTGAAACATTTCTAAAACTAGATCTGGAACCAAAAATCAGCAGTACTAATAGAAAATATAGAGGCGAAATGTGCAAAATAATGCAAAAATAGTAGAACAAAATCATGTTCATTTAGTAATAAGGTAGGAGAAAGAGTTATTTTTTTGTATAATTCTTATAAAGTATTAATTACATGTGTTTTGTGTGCCTTGTGATTTCTACAGGAGAGACCAAAGAGTGCCTTGGAACGTTTATACTCTGGAGACCACCAAAGAGGCAAGATGAGTGCAGAGGAACAACTGGAAAGAATGAAGCGCCATCAGAAGGCATTAGTTCGTGAACGCAAGAGAACTCTTAGCCAAGGAGAAAGGCAGTCTGTTTCATCTCGGTCTTTCATCAGGCCCATTTCTGCAGACATAGGCTCAGTATGTTAGATATGCCTTAAAAGGACTAAAGTAAAAATATTTTGGGTTTTTTTTTTCCTATCAAGCACTTTCACTGGAGTGTGTGCGATGCTTCTAGTCTAATTAAATTAGTGTTATACAGCATAACTCTGAGAGAGTGTGAGTAACAGATGATCTTTTTTTACTGGTAGTTCCAGTATACGTAGCAGGGTCAGTTGGCCAGAGGTTAGTGTGCTGAGTGGAGATGTCAGTATATGGAAGTGATTTCAGAGACACGATTGTTTTTATTGGGATTGTATTTAGAAAGTGTAAGAAGCTTGTACAGTTTTAAAACTGCTTCATAATGGAATGGGCCTTTTAGAATGTTCTTGTTCACCATGGGTATATTTTTTTTTTAATTCATAAATTAGGCTGCAAGATAGTCTTGGTAATATCAGACCAAGGTGGTGGTTGTTTGTTGTTTTAAAGAGATGATAAATGGATAATCAGTTTTAAAATCTCATCATGCTGATTAGAAATTTATGTAAGAGCTAATGTGTTTTAATTGATACAGATTCTTTAAAGCTTAAAATGTAGAATATTCTAATAAGGCTCAGATTTAAGCTGCTGAAGAAAAGGATTTTTGTTGTGTTCTGAGATTAAATGCTGTACAGATGATAAATTTGTAATGATACATTTTGGATACTAACCAAAGCAATTCTAATTGGTGAAGTTACCCAGTCGCTCACTTGGTGCTAAACCAAGATTGTACTGTAATTGCACTTTTGCTGTGGTCTTTTAATTTATTTTTTATTTGGTCCACTAGAGCTTTAGAATGATCACCTTGTTTTACCTAATTCATTGCACAAGATCTCTTGCTTTTAGATTCGTCACTCATCATACCTAATGCCTCTTTTTTTTTGTTTGCTTCTTTTTAATTTGCAGAATTTTGTAGTTATTTTAAAATTTCTAACTGGACTACTCAATTTTTACCAGGCTTAATTGCATTTAGTACATGTGTGTCAATTGCTAGCATTAAAAAAAACCCCTATAATGTTCAGCCTTTCATTCTCACTGTTCAGTAGCACTAATTTACAGCCAGTTATTTGTATTTACTTCCCCAGTAAATACGAGTGCACTACCTGGAGACATTCATCTCTTTTGTCTTCTGTTTTGCAGTCACAAATTTATCGATGATAGTGCATAATATTTGGGAACTATAGAACTATAGTATCACTGTTATTTTCGTATTTTAATTAGAAGAACTAAATCTGAGCTGCTTTTGTTTCCCGACTCGCATAACATACACAAGTCGAATTTAAACATTTTTGTGACACTCCTTATTAACGTTTGTGGCAAACACTTTATAATTTGTGTGCCATCTTGGTCTTTTTCTTGCTGTAAAGAATTAAAATAGAATCTTTCAGCCCTAGCAATGTTTTGTAGAGGTCATCTCTGGTACTTACAGGGCTTTGATACGCAAAAAAAGCATGTTTGATAGCACAATTACTTACAGCATTACACTTATTTAGCAGCCAAAATGGCAAACAGTTAAATGTATAATTGAAGTGCTACTCAGTATGTAACATTTGCTTTAAACATACGTTGTATATGTAACCCTAATTTTAAATCGGTCAGCTCTCGAGTGTAGTAGACATTCTAAGTATTGATCACAGTACCTGAATTCATTTGTTATATACAATGCCTTTTTAATGTAAAAGTCGCAACATCAAAGCCAATAAAAATGCTGCTTCGTAATAATGGTTTGATCTTTTTCTTACCTATATCTAAAAACTTGAAAGTGATACTGTGTATTTAAAATATACTATGTCAATCAGGCCTGGTTCGAATATGAGTAGAAGAATGAGTTTGGAGTACTTATATGAGAAAACATTTTTTTCTCTTCTGAATTCTATAAAGAAACATCTTAATTTTTGAAATATAGTTGCCTTTTAGCTATTCAACTTTTTTGAGGTACATGGAAGATCTGTATCTTCTGAGTGAATATTGAGAGCTTGTGCATGAATAGGTTTCTGTTAGATTTATTAAGGCAAGTAGCATAATGTAATCTAAGGACGTATGGAGTTCAGACTTGAGGCAGACAAACCAAAGATTTGTAACAGAAATACTAGAGATATTTTTAAGAAACATAGAGTGGCACATTATCCTACCGATATCCTCAAATACCTTAGGAGATAATTTTTTTGTTGTTCTTTTTGTCCCTTCTCTTTCCCACTGCTTTTAATATCTTGTTTCAACTCTGTACGGTAAAGTTGCTGAGATCTGCTGGATGGACTGATGCTGCAACTGAACTTAATTTTTGAACAAAAAAGTGTTGGTAGTGTTCTTAAGTTATGTGCAGCTGTGTAGTTGTGAAGGAGCTACTATGCTGTGATTTGGGGACTCTAAAGTTATGCTGCTTAACTTAAATACATTCTGAATTTCTTATTGCTAAATATTTACCTTGTAAAGATGGAATGTGATTTTCTAGCTAGATACTACTTTTAGTACAGTCAGAAGAGCTTAGAAGTTACTAAATTATTATTTTTGAGTTCAAGACAAGTTAATGCTAGTAGTAAAATATTATCAGCTTTAATCCTGAGGTATTATTATAGAAAGATATATAAAATTTTCAAGTTGCAATTCTCAGCTTGCAATATAAATACCCTTTCTGTGTAGTGATTCAAAAATCACACAGCACTGCCTGGTTAGAATGCCTAAGACTAGTCAGTCAGTCGGTAGACTCACTTGTATTGACGTCTGTGCTTCCAAAGATGTCTTTGTGTAGCTAGTTCAATGTTAATCAGCATATATGAAATTGTGATTAACACATTTGTTAGAATTTAATACTGCTGAACGTTTCCTGTAAAATTAAACAATACTCCAAAATCCTTGCAGCACAGCTAGAGATCAAATCTCCCAGCCATACGTTCCTTTTGTTGTCTGTTAAGGGCTTTGCTCTGTGGATTCTTTCAGCAATATAGCATTTGCAGCAGTAGTAATGTACATTGCTAAATGGTGAATTTGGCAGTATGGTTGAGTGCTGTTAATTGTTTTGTATCTGTTACCAGTGGAAAAGAGAGCAAGAATTTGATTTGCAGTTACTTGAGAGAGCAATTCGTGGAGAAGACAAGGACGAAAATGAATGGTTAAAAGTTCAGCCAGTAGCAGTGACAGAGACAGACCTGGAGCCTCAAGACTATGATTTAGATATCAGCAGAGAGGTAACACTCATAATTTTTAGCCTCCTATTCTCTTCCCCAAATATATTAACCTTTTCAAGTTTTAGGTAGTGAATTCTCATATTTTCTTTCAAAAGTTAATTGGACGTTTGAGCTAAAAGGAGTCTTTTGGGTATTGACAATTTATGGCGTGACACTTAGAATCTCTGTAAGGTTCATGTGTTTTAGTAGAGAGGAGAAATTGAAAGATTTGCTCTACTGTTTGAAAAATACCTCGGGCTTTATAGAGGAAAAAGCGATTAGGTTAGGCAATGTTATTTAAATTGGAAAAAAAGATGAGAAGACAACATCAAGAGTATTTGAAAATAAGAAACGGCAATGAAATAAAAGTTAGTTCCCCAGAGCTACCTTACTCTTTGTTTTGACTGACAAAGCATGGTAGAGAAGAGGGAGCACTGCTTTATCCTGGTCAGACCAGAAAACATCTTTCCGTTGGCTTTTCAACTAACTTGGTTGGTGTTCTGGGCACTAGATCTTTTTTCAGCTCTAGTAAGTGAGTAAAGTGTTTGAAATGCGATTGAGCCATCTGGTGGAAAGGAAAGACTATAGCAAGTGGAAAGGTTTCAGTCGGTACTGTGCGTTGTGTAAAATGCCATGGTAGATGGAAAATCAGTAAATTTACTAATGACAGAGTGGTAAGCACCTCTACTCTTCTGAAAGCTATTGGCAACGTATCGTTTTACATGGAGAGATATTTGCAAAAGGTTGAATCCGTGAGCCATTATCTGTTGATCTCTATGAACGAACGTGTCTTTCAATTAATCTTCGTATGTTCTACAGCAAATGCAGTACTCCTGTAAACTTCAGAAACAGAAAAACATATTTTCGTTGTATTGCCTTTTTGCACTCTGCTATGAAAATCATTTCTAGGTCTCCAGAGCTCCCTGAATCACTTCAGACATTCAAGTTAGCACCTTCAGCCTAGGATAGGAAACACTTTTGCTTTTAGGCATTTCTGCCCTACTTCAGAGTAACTGACGCAGGCCTGAAGCTCTGAATGTAAAACTTCTTTCTGAGATTACCCAGGTTGTCCTTTTCCATTTCATGTACTCATCCTCTTCATTTGGCAGGCGCTTCTGTACCCGAGGTACTTCTGTGCCTCATAAGGAAGTGTACTCAGTTGTGTCTTGAAGGCCAATAAATCTGCTGTTCACATGATAACTCAGTTTGTTATTCTGGAAGTGGCAGGATGAGTTGATCTAGGTTAGTCATAGTGTGGAAATAGATATATAAATTAAAAATAAAAGGAATGTGTATGGCTACAGAGCTTCAGAAAGGAGTTGGATTTGAAGATAAGGAAGGAGTGGAAAATGAGGATTTTTCAGGAACCATTGGCCTTGGATTTACTGAGAAGGAAGTATAAAAATGTGAGTTTGGGATTTTAATGTAGTTATGAGTGCCAGTGACTGTATTGTATGCTTCAGGCCTATGATTACCTGCGAGTTACTGAGCCTAGTCACGGCAGCTTAGGTCAGGCCACTTTACATGTGCCGTTGAATTGGTGTGGATTAAGATCAGTGGTCAAAAATTTAGAATTATTTCTATTCAAAACTTTGAATTTTGAAAACTCGTGAGTGTTTTATCAAAAATCCAAAGAGGAAAAGAAAAAATAGTTCCACTTTACTTATTTTTATTTATTTACACATCCTCTATTTGTGCTTTTCAAAAGCAGTCTGTTCCATATAATACACATTGGTTTTCAGAGTTCGTTTGTAAACTGAATTTTGATTGGATGATTTAGATCTCTTATGTGGAGCAAAAATTTCCCGCAAAGAAACTGATCCTAACAAAAACTTGTTGCTAGCTTTTGTGCAATCCTATTAAAATTTTCAGTCTACAGAATTATGTGTGTGCAACATGCTGTTACAATTGCACAATGTTAGTGTAATTCTGGGGCAGTTCCCTAGACAACTGTTGAACACCTAGGATTTAAGATCTTATAGTCCAAGAATTTCCTGAGATGATTACAGATTGCTGGTTTTGGTTTATTGTTTTGTTTTGGTTTTTTCCCTTCACTGCTCACAGAAGAAGATGATGCAGTCTCAAAAGACTGATACAGAATCATTTAGGTTGGAAAAGACCTTTAAGATCATCGTCTGATTGTAAACCTAACACTGCCACTAAACCATGTCCCTAAATGCCACCCTAGATTAAAACTTTGTATTTCCTTTCAGTTGTAGGAATTCCTTGCTGGCATGACACATTATGACGTTAAAATCTCAGGTTGTCTGATCAGTCTTGTAGTGGTTGCTTCTTTCTACTGTAACAGCTTTAGGCAGTGTCCTGCTTTGGGCTCTGAGCCTGAGCTGAAGAAAGGTTCCCTGTTGATTCTGATTTCTTTTGTAATCCTCTTTAATATTTGTTCGATCTGTCTTCTAAAGTAATACGAATCAGAGGGAAATGACACTGTTAAAAGGGCATCAGCTCATATCCAGAGGGAGTGTTTAGCATCAGGTACATGTATTGACTGTGAACACCCATGCTTTATTCTTTTCACTGTGTTCTCCCAATGAGAATTTGTCTTTTTTTTTTTTAAGTCTTTGTTATTAAAAACTTGATGCCTGCTTTCTTTCCACAGCTGTCAAAACCTGAGAAGGTTGCAATTCCAGAACGCTATGTTGAACTGGAGCCAGAAGAGCCTCTTTCTACAGAAGAACTGGCAGCAAGACAGCGTAAAGCAGAAAAGATAAAGAATATGCTTACTAAATCAAGGTAAGGGGTTTTTTTAATCTTATATAGGGGTTGGTGTTGAATGTTGGGAACTAACTTCATACAACAGTCTAATTCTAAGTGTAACTTGTGGCTTTTAGAAAATGCACACAGAATTTATACAGTATACTTAAAGCTCCTTTTTAAAAACAGAGTAGAAGAGATAATGACAAATTTTGTATATGTCTATTTTCTTATTCAGAGTATCCTAAAATAGTAGTGAGTTCTTACCAAGCAACTTTTAGATGAGAGTGAGGAGGAAGGAAAGGCACAGATCTGGCCAAAAGCAGAAGAAAAGTCAGTGTGAGAGCAAGTTTCTGTTGTCTCCAAAGAGCTAGAGTTCTGAAAGAACACTTTTTGGCTACCTACAGCTAATGTAGAGTCAGCTGAAACATTTGAGTTTCAAGAATTTGATTACCTCAAACATTTTCTCTCTTTGCAAGACAAATAAAGAGGCTGTGCCTGAGGGACCACCAGGTTATACCTTTTTGCCTCTGGGCACTAACAAGAAATTTTATTAACAACTTCAAGTCTATAACATTTTTTGGAAGTGCTTTCATGTAAACAGCGTATTTACAACAAAGGACTTCCAGATGCACTTAAGGCTATGCAGAAATCTTGCCTGAATGTGTAATGGCTGCATCATTTCCCTTTGTATGCTGTAGTCGTTTGCATACAATATCTAATACGACTTTAAAGAACTTCAATAAAATACGGAGCTTGATAGGTGAGATCTGAAAATGGCTGTATGAGTTCAAGCTTGTTCTCATCTGCATGGTGGATTCTTCTTTATGTTTGTAAATGTTAATGTTGTTTTGCACTTTCCCACTAGTATGCACAATCTACAGCCTACTATTGCCCAGGACAAACACAACTCGGTTGATTTAGATTCACAGCTGCAAGAGCAGGAGCGCATCATTACCATATCATACGCTTTGGCTTCTGAAGCCTCTCAGAGGAGCAAGGAGGTAGCAGGTAATACTTAGTTATTTACAAAATAACAGCTATTTCTTACCAGCTTCTAAAGTTGTGTGGGGTTGTTGCTGACCTCCTGGCATAAGAGGGAGTTTTACTCATTCATATTCAAAATAGTGAAAAGTGTGTGTAGATAACAAATTTAGAGAGGCTAAAGTTTTATATTGAATTGAGTATTTGGCCTCCAATAGACAGGGTGAAGGGGACAAAATAATATGATCAGTAATTTCAGCTTGGAAACTTGCTCGTACTAATAGTACTAAAAAATTAACATTTCCAATGAATTTCCTATCATTATGTTAAATAAGGTATTTCTATATTCGTTTTTAAAAAGTAAATTGATCTGTGACTTAAATCGAGATAAAGGGATTTTTAAAATTTTTTTTTAACAGAAAGATTCCCTGGTCTGGTGATTGAGATTAGAGTACAATCATTTGCAGCTTGAGCTATATGACAGCAGGCTGAAAAAGATGTTGTAAAAGGGTATTGGCATGTTTCTATCTGGTGACCAAGATTAGAGGTCAGAGCAAGACAGCCATGCATGAATTCTGCTTGATGCCTGGAAATTAATAGATCCTTTGCAATACGTTACCAAAAGTGATAATTTCACTCTTGATTGCTTTATAGTTGAAATAAGTAAGAAATGTCAAAAGATTTGTATCACACAGTAATACATGCAGCAGCTATTCTAGCAAATATCTGACTGGCCATTTATAACTGGCACAGTTCGCTGTTCCAGTGGAGAATGGAAATAATGGAAACTTCAACTATGATGGAGAAAAAATATGCACATTTCTCATCCGAAGTTGTCAGTTTAAACTTATGGCACTTGCCACAGAAGCCCTCAAGACCTTCCCATTAAAGACAGATTATTCCAATATCCAAACACACAACATGCATCTGTAGTAACAGATCATTGATTGAATGTGGCTCTATACTTACAGAAGCAGTGGCAGCTAAACCTGAAGAGAATGTGATTTTGAGGGGATGGAATATGTTTTCAAGATATAAATCTTGAGACTTGGCAGAGGTTCTGTGGGTAATTTAGTTGAGTGGAGGGGATAAAATGATTCACTGAGGAGGCTAGACATTATAAAAAAAAAAAACAACCAACCAACCAAACAAAAAACCCCAGAACTTTAAAATCTTGCGAGCATTTCAGGAGTAACCTTTTGGTCTTTCAGGCATCTGTGAGTCCCACGGCTTCTCTGCAGGTGGTCTGGTCCCAGTTCTAGTAACCAAGTCCTTGTAACAGGGTCTCGCACACTTTGGTTATGGAGAGGGACTTTGTGTTTCAGGAGGTGTGAACCAATGCAGGATTTTGCCATGTGAGTTATAGCTTCTCCTGGGAAAATGTAGCACTGAAGCTAAGATCAAGCAAGATGAACACAGGCCATACTTGAAATTATTCCTCTGTGTCAGTACAACAAGAGCAGAGTGCCTGCCATACTGGACAGTCTTCATGTGGCCAGTTAACTTACTTCTGAGTGTGCATGAAGTTGTAGTAACCATACAGTACTGAAAATGTTTGACTTTTCTATGTTGTGTAGTGTATGCAGTAGCTATGTTTTCATTACTACAGATTTTTGTTTCATATTTTAATTTTTTATTGTAATTATTTCAAAAGTGTCATCACTACATATTCTTAGGTATACGTAACCACAGAAATCTTCTCAATTCTTTAGTTCTCCCCAGGGAGACAATTTAAAAGTGTATCGGCACTGAAATATTTAAATGCTGCTTGAAAAAATTTGCAGTCTGTTGTGAGATGATTTTTAAATTAATTTTCTTTGTGAAGTATAGCGGCTAGCTCTTCTGTCTTTCAGATACTTAAAAAACCCCAACATAGTAGCCAAGTCTTTGATTCTTTAAGGAAGCACAAACCTTTATGTCCATGCACAGTTTTCCTTGCCACATTTGTATCTTAAATACTCACTTCTTGTAACATGTCTTGCTTTGATTTCAATTATTACTTACTCCTTTCAAAACAAACACCTTTCAAGGAATTCTAAAAAAAAAAAAAAAAGTCAGGGGTTTGGTTTTGATAGAAAATATACAAACCATAAAAAGAGTTCAGGTTTTTTAGTTATGGCCTATTTTCTGATGATCTGAAGTGATTAAAAAGGAAATAATTTGATGCTTTGCACAGCTGATGGTACATTCCCATTTATTCTAATGTTCTTGTTTTGTGGTTTGATTTTTAAAGTATAGATTGTCATTTGGTCCTTGTTGATGAAGTAGACCATATCTGAAAATCCAAAACTAAATATATAGATTTTTTTTACAAAGATTTCCTTGTGAAAAAGACTGAAGCTTAGCTTTTCCTTTTTTTGGGGGGGAAGCAGTTAAGTTATGTTAAGATGCTATAGTAATATAAATATCTTTTAAAATAAATTGTGCATTTATCTAATCTTTGGAAAGCAGAATTTTCGAATTCCTCTGTTCCTAGTAAGAAATCAGCCTTCTAAATTGAAGTCATGCCAAGAATCTGAAAGATTAAAATAAAATGCAGGAGTATTAAGAAGTCGTTTCCTAAATTCTGTTTTGGAAATAGGTCTCCTTTTAACCCTTCAAAATTTAAAAGTAGAATTGAAGACTGAGTTTCAGTCTCTTTAGTTTTATGATTATTGTCTTCTAATACTATACCATTACTCTGCTTTATAAATAAGGATGGTCTTAATCGTTGTATTCTTTATCCTGAAATTTCAAGCTGAGATCTGAAAATGTATTAACTATGTCATGTACTTTACTAAGCAAAATGGTATAGACATATGTAATTTTTTTTGTGCGATTTTCTATATATTATTTTTGTTTCTCCTCATTGGCATGTAACAAAGGAAATGTTGAAAACTTGTATACCCTCAGTGAAGTCAAATTAGCAAATACAGGTGCTATTACAGAACTGCAGTTTTAAAAGCAGGGCTGGATTAGGGTATATCCGTTGTGTGCCTTGAAATGTTCCAGTGAAACTTCATCTTAAGATAGATTGTCCATATTCTCTTCAAAACAGGAATATTTATTTGCATAACTTATGCAACTAATAGAAAAAAACAGCAGTTTAAATTGTGTTCCATGTAACTAAAATAGGGTAACACTTCACTGCAGTACTAATCAGGTTTCCTACTCATGTGGTAGAAAATTAAGGAGGCTCTGTTACAATATGAATGTTTGATTGTGCAGCCTAATTCCTGTATGTGATCCCTTCTAGCTCAGCAGTTGACCTATCCATCTAAAGCACCCTCACCTTCTGTACCACAGCCACCTCACTCCCCCTTAAGCAATGGATTTCACTACACATTTGTTTAAACACCTTAAAAGTAAGAACTAACTGCTCTCGGCATGTCTGATTTGCCATTGTGCCTTTGCTGTGGCTTGCTGAATTTTAACATTTTTACTAAACCTAAACTAGATCCAAATGAACGCATGCATCTATTTTTCAGAAACCTTTTTTCTTGTAAGCATTGCTTCTAATGAGCTAACATGTGGGCTAATAAAGTCTTCAAATAACTGCTGTCCTTCTATGGATAAAACGCTTCCATAACCTTGCTGTGGTGAAGGAAGGAGACGTTTGTACTGTTGGTTGCATGGGGCCAGATTTTCAGCAGCGGTTTGTACTCCGGCGGCGAGTGTTGTGTACTCCTGTGGCTACCGCAGGGGTGCGGAGGCGTGTTTGCCTGTGCGTGGCACGTGCAGTTGCTGCACACGAGAATCCAAAGTGCAAACAAAGTTGTATAAGCAGGGGGTTCTTTTATGGGCTGGTGTCTTACATCTGAGCAAGCATCGGAGTCTTGATTGAGGTGAGCTGAAAATTTGGCCCTTTATAACTTATTCTACAATATCGTGTTTGACTTTTTCATGCTTTCGATGTGTTTTTCATTGGATTGTGTTAACAGAAAACTTCATTTTTGTCTCCGATTAGGTTATTTTGCCATTTCAAGTATGAAAATTACGATAATTTCATTGTCCTTATAAAGAAATGTGTATCGTCTCTTTCCAGTAGTATTTTCAGAGTTTTCTCTCCTTTGAAATAGGAAAAACCTGTAAATATTGTGATATTTAACTGCTAAGTGTGCCCTTAGTTAAGACACTCTCCATGCTTCCATAGTTTCCTTTGAAATTATTCTTGCCTTTCTGATTTCCTTCAGCCTGATTTTATAGCCTGATATTGGACAAAAAGATAAAACATAGATGAAGTCGTAAAGAGGGTTGATTAAGTGAATACCTCAAATAGTGTTAATCTTCAGATACTTTTGTTTTCATTGTCAGTAATCTGAGTCGAATGTCCGTGCAAAAAATAAAAACTTAAATAAAAATAAGCACATAATCAGAAAGGCCCAAGCGGGCAGTGACCTGCCTTCAACAAGGCCTGTGAAAAATGACAAATTTACATCAAGAGAGGTGTATAGACATTAGGAGCCTCTACAGAGCCTGATGGAAGTAGCTGTTTGCTTTTCTGGTTCAGTTCATCTTTCTGAGAACTGAAACCTACCATTTTTGCTGTGTCTGAATTACACTTGACTCTAGTATTATATCTAGGGATATGCTAGTTGATTATTGCTATCACGAGATCTTTGCATGCAAATAGGCTACCCATGTGTCGCCTCCCGAACCCAGAAAAATAACCGTATGGTTCCAGGGTATTAGACTTGAGCAGGGGGCTTGGACCAGATGACCTTCAGAGGTCCCTTCCTACCCCAACCATTCTGTGATTCCAGACTCACTTAAAACCACATGTATCGCATGTCTATATAAATATGCATACATACAGATATACATATGTATGTATAGATATGTATTTGTATTTATTTATATATATAATACATATATATAAAAACCCTTACCTTTTTTTCAAGAAAATTATCAAGAAAATAATTGCAATAACCAGCAACATGGAGTTTGAACATCAGTGGCATCATTAGATAATTGTTTGCTTAATGTGTCTATATGAATTGTCCATTCTGTCAAACTACAGAAGGCTTTAATAAAAAAAAAATGTTTCCTGAAAGTACTTAGTGCTTGGCGTTAGCGTACTCCCCTGAATATTTAACCATGTTTTATTTTACTTCATGCTAGCCAAAGCAGTAAGTGAACACTGACGTAAGACTCAAAGCAAATCCCACCTAGTGACACCGTGTGGAAGAAAGGAGATTCATTACCAGCTTCCTGTGAAGATGCTCATCGACTGATGACATGTTCTTCTGGAAATACATTCAGAGAATAATAGGGGGATTTTCTATGAAAATGAAGAGAATTGCAAATCATTTTATTTTGACTTCAGTTTAGTTCAGACTTTTTATATGAATAAATGGCACTTTTAATAAACTCTATAAAATACTGACAATGTATTTTTAGGGCAATGTATTTTAGGATTTTTTTAAATCAAGGGCTGAATTCATTTTAAGAGAAACTACTTGCATAGATGTTAAAAGATACTGTTACTTCCCCCTCAGGTTCAGATGCACAATGTAAAGTTTCATGAAAAAAATGTAAATTTGAACAAACCTAGAAGCACATTCATAGGGTATGGGTAGAGCAAACAGAAGGGAGAGATTTGCCGAAAGGGTGTTTTGGATTGAATATGTTTGTAGAGTTAATCACCCACCCTTTTGCCCATTAAATAATGCATTGCAAGGAACTTTTAACTTGGATTTCTAAATATCAGTAACAACTGTAGAGCTGAAATTTTCCGTGAAAGCCATAATGAAAGCCAGTTTTAACTCCCATTTCATTTTTCGATCCCATATTATTAACTTGCTGGTATCAATACGCAGTATGCTAGGTTGCTTTTGACAGTAGTGCTGTCCCCTCAGTAACAAACAGCTAACATATTATAATTTTTCGAAAGCTGATACGTGAAAGAAAGCTTTTAATTAAAATATGTGAACTAAACAATAAGAAAAATAATAGGATATGTCATTTTACTAGTAAATATGTTTTTTTTTCCAATAAACATTACAATATGATGTATTGACTAGTATTTATCCTGGAAACAGCAAAACTAATGTAATGTGGCACCTGCTAATTTCGTATGTATATTCAGCTGGTGCTTGCTTAACTTTGCCAAACTTTGAAATTCAGTGTTTTACTTACGTATAGGGCAAAGGGTGAGGTAGTTACATATGGAGAAGATAAGATGAAATGAATTGCTGCAACTACTTTACTTGAAAAAAACTGTACGCGTTGAATGCAAGACATGCAAAACTTTCCCATTATGTAATTATTAGTTGAGTTCAGCTCTGGATGAGAAATGACTGAGAAATACTCATTCAGTATTTTGTGAAACCACTAACTTGTTCATTTGCTGTATTCAAGTAATAGCTACAGAACTCTTGAAATTGACCTTCAAGTTTCAGACTTTAAGACAAATCATATTATATTAACGCTGTACTCAGAAATATTCTTAAAAGTATATATTTAGCTAACGCAATCTATTTTACCTCAATACTGCCAGTATCAACTTCAAAACCTTTTGCCAAAATAATGATTTATTTTTGCCTTTATAAAAAAGTTTTGAAAGCATAAATGAATATTTTGCAAGAAAACATTAATTTAAATAAAATGTAACAGTTTGGAAAATGGTATATGTACAGATTAAAATATTAACATAACTGCCTCCTGTTGCCTTTGTCGTGTCTGCTCTCTTATCAGCATCCATGTGGTCAAAAATCCAGAGCTGTTTGTGCTTTTACCACATTTTGCTCTTCTTTGATTCAAATCCTATTGAAGTTCTCCGGTTTTGCACTGGAATTTGGATCAGGTTCCCCCTACACCAAAGTTTCATTTTTATTTTCCTTTTTTTTTTTTAGAAATATTTCTTAGCATTTGATTAAATCTGTCTTTATTCTTGAATAGAAAGGTTTTTCAGCGTAGTTCCCTCAACACAATGACTACAATACTGTCCTTTCTATCTCATAGATACATATGTTTGTCTGACAGCTTCTTAGCCCTTTAATTTCTGGTGAAATAAAGTATCAAGAGTAACTTCATTTTAAAACAACCAACATCAACAACAACAACAAACAAAAACAAAACAACCTGGAGGAGTAACATGTGCACTGTATGTGAATAAGGTATTGACCAAAGAGAGGGTTGGTGGGCAGCTGGCAAAGCAGATTTTCGGTAGCAGCTAACCAGCCATGATTTACACTATAACTGTTCCCTGAAACGACATCAGTTTGATGGAGATCAGTGGAAATGTTTAATTCTTCTGAAACTTAATCTCTAAAGAAGCAGTTAGAGGTGTTCCTGTGGCTTAGTGTTGACTCTGTGAACTTGAGAGCGAATGTTTGAGAATGTGAGTACTTGACCTTCAGGTGCTGCAGCAGATACTGGGAGCTGAGCTGCTTAGACATGCTCATCCTGTTTCCCAGGCACACAAAGGAGCTTTTGACCACGTTTTGTGGTTCAGTGAAACTGCATTCTTTCTCCAGAGGCTTTGTTATGCAGGAGGGAAGAATATGTGGCCATAATTGGTGGGTGAAGAGCACAGCCCATGGGTTCCTGAACTGCAGCAGCCAGTGACTCCACATTCCATCTGTTGCCCTAGCAATGAAGGAAAAGGGGTGCAGGCACTTCTGCTCTGCAGGTTGTGGGAGATGACAATTTTGTTTCCTATGATCTCACACACAAAATCTGCTCATTCAAGCTTGTGTGAAAGAGGAGGATTTTGCCCTAAATAGGTACACTGTTGATGTTTTTAACAAAATTAGTCTTTCTAAAGATTTTGATCTGTGTCCATAGTTAATTCCATATTTGGGAAAAAATTATCAAGATAATTTTTCTTCCAAAACTTTTTATTGAATATGTCAAATGCTGTTCTCCAGTAACCATCTTTTTTGCAGGGATGGGTGTAGTTTTTAAATAATTAGGGCTAATTTTTGTATGCATGTGGTGTTCGTTTCACGTCAATTTCCTTTTTCAATTCTGTTTCTTTTAATCAAAATGCTGTTTTGTGGGTGTTACACACTACTCTCTAATATTAAGACTAGAAAAAAATGTCATCTACTTGCACATCGATGTAGATTTGGTCAGAAAGTGGCTTTTTTTTTTTTCTTTCCTCTGCCTATTAAGCATCTTAAGTGTTTGGGACTAATTATAATTAATGAAACAGAAACTCATTAAAAAGCAGTATCCGTTCTTCTTTTGAAGGTGCTGTTTTCTAGTTAATGTTTTGTAATGTTACACCAAGCAAAAATTACGCAGACTGACTTCTCATGTATATCTGTTTTCAGTTTCTTCAACTTAAGTTATTAAAATTTTATTGCATAGCTGAATTTAGAGAACTACAGCCTGATACTCGTAAGTAGCACTGCTTCCACCTTTTTGAACTTGCATAACACCCCCAGCCCCCTATTTTTCACTGCTTTTATTTGGAGTTTGTATGTATTGCTGGGCTGCTAGGAAATCCTGTTGAGCCATAGAGCTGTTGCTTGTCTTTGTATATCTATGGAAAGCTATTTGTTTTGAAGGACTGGACAGTAGCAGTAGTTAGAGGCATCCAGACTGTTTCAGAATAGTTGGGGAAAAAAAACCTAGCTAGAAAGGTCTTTCAGGAAGCAACTGTATTAAGAGATTCTATTACGGAAAGTTGCTTATGTGTGGAACTAAAAGCTACTGAAAGATGCTACTAAACTTGTGTGTTGCTGTTTCAAAAAAATTGTTGAAGGTCAAGCGAGGTGGTCTCAGGTACCCCATAGCCTTTGGAGGCAGGGGTTGATGTTTTGGGAAAGCAGAGCACTCCCAACATGTTCTGGTATTCTTTACACTGTTATTTTTCCACCTGCACCATTTACACATTTGATTTCCAGATCTTCAAATGTATGTGTATGTATTTTATGTCATCGTCTGTTCCCCTCTGTAAAACCATATATTTCCCCTGTGTCTTAGCAATTAACTTCTGGATGTTATATGAAGGAAAGACCAGATTTACTTAGTGTCAAAACTTTGAAGTTACAGAAGGCATGATCTGATGTTACCCCTCTGATTTATGTCTGTCTTTGGGTATTTTAAAGTGCTTGTGCCTTGTGTGTGTGTATATATGTGTCTATGTATTGCGTAGTTATAAAAAGAACAAAGCCATGCACAAGAAAAACATGAAAAATTGCTATATTTTCCACACCTAGTAAACATTCCCATTGGTTATTTGGCTGTATTCAAAAGGCTAAGACTTTTATTGCTCTACTAGCAAAAGCAACCTTTCTTCTTAGTGGAGCAGTACAAAGAAAGAGCACAAAAAATGCACACATCACAGTGCCTGAAATTCTGTTTGAACAACTGTATTGATTAGGTCTGACCCCTTTACATTTTTTTTTTCCATTATTTGAAAAGGTGCATCTAACTGTAGCTGAACTGAACCAACCGAGATGAACTTTCCATGAAAACTTCGTGAGATATTTCTTTAGTTCAAAGCTTTGGAATTTTAAAGAGCATTTTTAATACAAGTCTGTTGAGGTATTCTGTGCAACAACCATACTTTGAATGTTAAAATACAGGTAAACCTAAGGGGAAGGTAAAATTGTAAAGCCTACCATGAAATTACCAGGAGATGACAGAATAACTTTGAGCTCTAATTATGGAAGTAAATAAACTCAGAAAGTATTGCATGTGTGCACATTTGTGCACTGTGTACTTGTTATTTACCTGCCAGTGCTCCTGGTTGTCTCACAGAGAGTGCAAAACAGCCTCCGAACAAAACACTAACGGAATTGGGCAGCGTTTTTGGAGCAGTTATTGATGGAATAGTGTTGTAAGCTCAAAGGACAAAGGGGTTTCGGGCTGGCTTGATTTTGTCTCTAGAGCCAGAATTGAGAAAAGTGTTAACATTGTTTTCCTGTTCATCTGTTGAGACATAGGAGGTTTTTGGAGGTTTTTTGAAACTCTGGCTGATGGCTTATGTGAAATGCAACCCTAGTGAAATTAAGTAGCTGGCGACTTTTAGTTCCAGTGAGTTGTACCACTCTGGGGGAAAAAGTTGACATTGGAGAAGTCACTGCTAATTCTATTTGTTTCTTATATTGTCTGTATTGTTGGCTTTTCTGACTGCTTGGTTCGTGATAAACAGTTCTATGTCTCTGCTACTGCATCTTTGAGCATCTTCTCCCAATGTGGAACAGGATTTTGTCTTCTGCCCGACACAGTTGTAGTCTGTCTGTGTGTATGAGTTGGGCATTGTGAACTCATACACACACATAGGTTGATCCCATTTTTCTTTCCTTTGGTGCTAAGACACAGAATCAGCAAAAGCTGAGGAAACACTGCTGAGGCGAGTGCCAGAACTGGCTGCTCTGCTTACTTCCCAAGCCCTAGCCTGGATGAGAGGCCCAGAGAGAACAGAGAGCAACGTCTTATGAGTGTAGCTGTGTCCTTTGGCTTCCTGAAAGCCTTCTGTATGCCTGAGGACTCTTCAGTTGTCTTTACTGAATCCAGTTTAAAAGTGACTTGGCAAATGATTTTGTACACAGATTTTATTCAGGATCGGGGTTGTGGCTCCATCGGTTGACTACTGAGTAAATTTGTTCTCTATTTTTTTGTGTGTGTCTAGTATTGATTTCTTATGTTAAGAAGTCTTTTTGACAAAAAAAAAAAATCTGAAAAGTGATGTTCTGTTACTACATCCTTACGTACAGATCACAATTACAACT